CTAGTACGTAGTACATATAACTCAATGATTAACTGTGTTTTAATCCACCGCCGGGTTTGATTCCCTCTAGTATATGTATAGTCTAGAAATAATTATTTCCGGTAGATAACACCTATAGCGCTAAACCCAGATTTAAATCTATTCCTAATAAATATATATTATTTATTGTCATTTAAAGTCTCACATTAATAATGCCAGTAGCGCCGGCAAGATCGATCTCGCGTTGCACGCGTAGGTGCTATGAAATTTAAGTCGAGCTACGTGCAAACACGCAAGCAATCTCTCATCCTAAACTACCAGTATGCGATGTCATGATTACACCTATACGATAACATGAAACAGGCTAGATTGTACATAGTGACGGATATACGAAAACCATCAGGGCACTCCAAACCTGAAAAAAAATGATTTGTTACATGTTTCCAAACCCAAAAAAATTTCTTTGTTTTGTAACAAAAACATTTTCAAGTCGTAAGTAAAACATTTGTTTTATTACGACTTGAACTCAATTTTTGAACCGCAACTCAGTAAAATGGTACTCAATACGCAAAGCCATGTTAAACAAGATGATAATAGTATAAATATATAATGTAAAATATGTTTAAAAGGAACCAACTTTCTTCCGTCACACTTTTTATTCATAGATTTCGCTATGTCACTTTTAGAAGTAACAATATTAAAATTAACGGCTTTGCAAACACTCTTAATATGTACGAGTATCATAACAATACCAACGAAAGGAAACGGAACTTTCTTTTCACAACAGTGACAATGTCAGTACTATAAACGGCAAGTGCCACATAACGCCAGTTAAGCTATCGAACTTTCTCGATACATTCGCACGTATGTGCTTTTTACTTATTTTATTTATTTTTAATCTTTATTGCATTTCCTTTGAGAAAAAAAAAACAACAAATGTATTCTTCTACAAAGGGTGTGGACTATGTATATAACTGTTATAGGCATTTTCTAGCAGTTTTTAATGTTCTAAAAGAAATTGGTGTAGATTAATTTTATTTCTTTGTTTGATAATGGACTTGTACACTATTGCCTATGTCAAGTTTTACAAAAATGTTGTTTATATTGATTTGTTTAAAAACTTCTTCTCAATTTGTTGATGCATCACATTGTAAAGTTTTTAGGAGATTTTCACGGAAGTTTGAGCTTCGAACGACTGTCTGCCAACCTCAAGTTATCTAGGTCTCCTGTTGAACATAGGTCTACCCCATAGAGTGCCTCATAGTAAACTGTGGCAACTATTGCAATTAAACATATTTGTCACACTTGGTAAGCGAATATCGTCCCGTGGGTGTCGTAAGAAGCGACAGAGAAAAAAAGATCAGGAAATGGGCAACAGAGTCTACCTAATTATAATTAAAAATAAAAAAAAAACTTCAGTTGCCAGTCCGCTTAAAAAGTGTGGCAAATATGTTATATTTGCCATAGTTATCACAGTTGTTCAGCAATAGACTTAACGTATAGTCAATAGTCTAGGAGGCGAATACAAAAATGTTTATTTATCCAAAAACTGAACCATGAATAATATAAAAGCGTAATAATAATAATAATAATACGACGTGAGGCTGTTCCCTCATCGGATGAAAATGCTATAGCTGGTAATGCGACGCCACAAATTGCAGAACAATCTGCACACGTCAATGCCGCCGCGGATTTTCCAGTTGTAGTTGATTCAGACGATGATGGAATAGTCACCCAAGAACTAGAGCAGATGAGGAGTAAATTGGAGGAGGCGATTGTGGAAACGCGCAGTACGCCTCTCGAAAATCGACCGCGACTACCGCGCATACCCCTAAGCAAGCGGAATCGGGCTGTCGTGAGGGCTCTTAACCCAATGCTGGTGACCTATTTGGAAGCCAGCCGGGACCTTTGCGAGACGGACTCAATTCTTTTTGGCGCCGCACTGGCAGTTTGCCGTATTATTGGCGCCAAACTTCCCACGGCTGGACGCGCTACTAGACAAAGTAGCGCCATCCCAGCCTGGAGAAGAAGGATTGAGGACCGTATCGCAAAGGCAAGGGTCCTCATCGGCAGACTAATAAGCTTCAGGTCGGGCAATAATAGGCCGAGAATTGTGCGCACCGTCAGGATGGCGTTTGCTGGGACAAATATCAGTTTGTCCCAGCCGGATATAACGCAAAAACTGACGGAGCGCATAGACGACCTGAAGCAGAGAATCGCTGCTTGGGGGAAGCGGATTCGGCGATATACCGAGAGGTCGACACGGTTCAACCAGAATCGTCTCTTCCAGAGTGATCAGAAGAGGCTCTATGAATCATTGGAGCGACCAATGGTACGTGGAACGGGCCCAGCACCGAAACAGGCCGACACTATCGCATTCTGGCGCGGCCTGTGGTCAGAGCCCGTAAACCACAGCGAGGGCCCTTGGACGGAAGTTGTGGCGAGTCAGTGTGCGAATATTACGCCCATGGACCCCGTCATCATAACGCCGGATGACGTAGCTGAGGCGGTCCGTAGGGCCCCGAACTGGAAAAGTCCGGGACTCGACGGACTGCATCACTACTGGCTGAAAGGGTTCGTGGTGTGTCACGCTGTGCTCGCCCGACAGTTTCAAGAGGCTCTCGACCAAAAGTCGCTCCCGAGCCTCTTCACTACTGGGATCACTCATTTGGTTCCTAAAGATTCCACAGACCCCAGCAAGTACCGCCCCATAACGTGTCTACCTACCATATACAAGACACTAACATCCATTTTGAGCGCGAGAATCACTCGTCACCTGAACTCAAATCAGGTGATGTCGCGCGCTCAAAATGGATGTCGGGGCGGTGGTCGTGGAACCAAGGAACCACTCCTCATTGACGCGGTCATTGGCAAGGTGGTTAAACGCAACCGTCGGAACCTCTCCGCCGCCTGGATAGACTACAAAAAGGCATTCGACTCGGTGCCTCATACATGGCTTAAGAGGGTCCTCGAGCTGTACAAGGTTGACTGTACAGTTCGAGACTTCCTCGGGCAGTGTATGGGGCAGTGGAGTACGATCCTTTGTCATCTAGGCCAGCGGATGCCGGCTGCGGAGAACCACATAAGGATAAGAAGGGGTATCTTCCAGGGCGATTGTTTGAGTCCAATCTGGTTCTGCCTCTCTCTGAACCCTCTCAGTACCTTACTGGAGGGTTCTGGAAGGGGATTTCAGCTTCGGAAAGGAGGTACAAAAGTGACCCACCTTTTCTATATGGATGATCTCAAGTTATTCGCCTCCAGTCGCTCCCATCTTGTGGAATTGCTAAACATCACTTGTGATTTTAGCAATTCTATTGGAATGGAGCTGGGGACGGATAAGTGTGCGATCCTCCATGTCGAAAGGGGAAGGGTTGCTAACTCTGAGGGCATGGACTTATCTATGCCCATCAGCATAAGGGGCCTTTCCGAGGCTGAAACATACCGATACCTGGGTATGTCACAGAACATCGGTGTCGATGAGGCGGGTATGAAGCAGTCAGTTTGCGATGTGTTTTATGCACGCTTGACAAAAATGCTTAACAGTCTTTTGTCGGGCGTTAATAAGACACACGCTTATAACGGTTGGATCATGCCTGTTCTCATGTATACCTTTGGCATACTCAGGTGGACTCAGACCGAACTGAACGCTCTGGGCAGAAAAGTCCGCACTATAATGACGTCCCACAGAGTGCATCATCCGAGATCGTCGGTAATGAGGCTGTACTTGCCGCGGAAGCATGGTGGGCGCGGCTTTTTAAGCGCGCTTACCCTGCATAATCGCGAAGTGTGCAGCCTCCGTAATTATTTTCTGGCGAGAGCGGATGATCCATTCTATAGGGACGTTATTTTTTGTGATAAAGGACTTACCCCTCTATCCTTAGCCAACGAGCAATGGCAAGACCCGGCAGTACAGAGCATTTCCGACCGGGAGACCGTATGGAAGGAGAAGGAGCTACACGGGAGGTTCTACAAGGCTCTACATGAGCCTTTCGTAGATACAGTTGCCTCCCTCCACTGGCTACGTTTTGGTGACCTCTTCGGGGAAACCGAGGGTTTTGTCTGTGCAATACAGGATCAGGTTATTAAGACCAACAACTATCGGAGATACATCCTAAGGGATGGCAGCGTCGACATTTGTCGAGCTTGTCGCCATCCCGGTGAATCACTTAGGCATGTCATCTCCGGTTGTTCGGCGCTTTCTAACTCTGAGTACTTGCATAGGCACAACCTAGTAGCCAGGATTCTACACCAGGAGCTCGCTCTGAAATACGGTCTCGTGGATCGGAAACTGCCTTATTATAAGTACATGCCGGAAGCCGTGCTCGAAAATGACCGCGCCAGGCTCTACTGGGACCGGGCCATCATCACAGACAGGACCATTCTTGCGAATAAGCCTGATATTGTGCTGATGGACCGGGCACAGTCAAGGATATTTTTGGTCGACATTACCATTCCGTATGACGAGAACCTCGTGAAAGCCGAAACAGATAAGCGAACAAAATATCTGGACCTGGCTCACGAGGTGACCGACATGTGGGGTGGACTGCCGGCCGAAATTATACCTGTAGTCGTTTCTGCGAACGGGTTAATCCCAGTCAGCCTCTCGGGTCATCTGAGGCGACTGGGACTCCGTGACGGACCGCTCCAAGCTCAAATGCAGAAGGCGGTGCTCCTCGATACCGCCCGCATCGTCCGCCGGTTTCTTTCCCTTTCCCCCTAACCCTCGGCCGTCTGGTCTCCCCTGCCGAGGGCTTCCATCTGGTTGGGTTTTTATTTATTTATGTATTTTTTATGCATTTATTTTATTTCGTTGATATTTATGTATGTTTATTATTTTCATTTACAATTATATATTTATACAGCCCAACCAGATGAGTAAACTATATAGATGCCCCAAATAATAATAATATTAAAATCATAATAATTCAGTAATGTATATTTATCATTTTATTTTATATATTCATCATGAACATGTGACATCGTTTGGCAAAATTAAACGTGTTTTTTTTTATCTTTCACAGCTTTCATACCTTCTGCACCTGAACAATGACATCGTTTCAACGACCAAACACAATGCATTGTAAAAATATCGACAGTGATGCGAAAACATATCAGACATACGCAAAAAGGAGAGATTACGAGTAAGTAAAATTTTAACAGAAATATTTAAAATTAATATTTTAAGGAGATAGCCGGGCTAAGTATGACATCAGGACGTCAAACATCTCTGCCCCCCCCCCCCTCCCCAATAAATAATAAATAAGTAAATTAAACCTAAGATGTTTTTTAATACGTCTTTGAATTAAACGCGACAAAATCTGTAAACATAGATTTATTCAATAATTAAGCTGTAATTTTTTATATAGTAAGGGACCTTTCGTCTTACAATTAACAAATAATTATTATTTGTATAGTTGAAATAGCTTTACTGCGCTTACCGGTACGAGGTTACCACTCGAGAACTTTCTTCCCCATCGATTGTCGGTTCTTCAAGCTATATGGCCGGCCCTTTGCCACTTCAGCTTCCTAATCCGTTAAACTATCAAAATATTCTTTTTGGTTAATAAATAAATTTTATGTCAAGTTTTAAGTTATAATTACCAATAGCTATTATTACTATATTATGTGAGGATAATATGGTCATCCGGTTAATATGGTTTATATCTCAAAAACTACAGCCTTGTTTGCATGGGTAGCTCTGTGATACGATAGCTCTTCATCAGTCAATCAAATAATGTGGGGTCAAAATGGGGCTGCTTTGTAGACGCCATTTTGACAGGTGACATTATAGTAAATATTTTAGTCGTTTTTAGTATTATGTTAGTATTATGTAGTTGTTTGCTATTTTTTCTTAATACATTAGTTAAGTATACGACTTTGTCTTTTTGTCTATGTCCTCCTCCTAGTTTTGGTATTATAGGGCGGCAAAGCTTAAGGTGACCATATTACCCTCACATACCTTAATACGTAACGTGTATATTGTCACGTTTAGGGAATGCGTTTATGAATATCTTAAATAATATTATTTAAGAGCCATTTAATAGCCATTGTTAGTCTTGGGCTTCTTTCATAATTGGGAATAATTTCGATATCGCTCCGAATAGGCGATCGATACCAGACGTCTCATTGATTACCAATGATGCTACTTTCCGTTGACGGTCGGGGCCGGGACTCCGGGACCAATTATACCGCCATCAAAATGAGGCTATTAGATTTTTAGCTGTTTCCTAAAGTCCGCTCACTGTTTGTGAAATATTGTCCTAGTAAAATTTACATTTTCAATTAATAATATTCCTGATATCAAGTAACAGAAAAGTTGTATGTGTAGACTATTATAATATTAAAAATCCCTTCATTTTACATCGATCTTTCTAGACTTAGTGTAAGATTAAAGGTACTTTTCCATTTTTACATCAAAAACACATACTACTCTCTTTTTTCACAATTTTAATCGCTCTTTGAACAGCAAACACAACAAAATATTTCATTTAAAATACATTAAATTGATATTCCATTACAATAGTGAGTATACAAAACAATTTTGAAATAGTTTACGTAAATATATGTGCTAGTGACAAATGCAACTATGTCACTAATCGTATGCCAGTACTAAGTATTTGTTTATTTTCAGATGGCAAATAGTATGGAGAAACGTCTTGGCTTTCATTTATTTGCACGTCGCATCCTTGTACGGCGTTTACCTCATAATTACATTGAAATCTAAAATATGGACGCTGCTATTCGGTGAGTGCTATATTTATAACTATTGGATAAAATTTAGAATATTCGACATTGTGTAACTTTAATGAAGTTGTCATTGACTTTAAAAGTACAGAGTAATAAATAAGACATACAATCTCTATATATAAAAATCCATTGATGTCCATTAGTCTCGCAAAAACTCGAAAATGACTAGACCAATTTTGATGAATTTTTTTGTGTGTGCTTGAGTGGGTTCCTGGATTATCTAAATGATTCACAATTGGACCCGGTAGGTGGCGTTGTTGTCGAGATCCAGAAATGCAAAGCCGGGGCGGTGCCATCACAATATAAATATCGACATCACGAGACACTCTAAACCCATATTGTATTACCTTAGCATCCCAAATTTTCAGGACTTTCCGAACAGGTTCTCTTTTTAATTAAACATCATGTAAAATAAATAATTGAAATATGTACATATTTTCTTCTTTTTCAAAATTTCAGCCCGTTTTCAAGAGCAAAGCTTAAATGGATGTTAAAAGAATGTAAAAATAGCTAATTATAATATAGATACAAGGTCGCCGGTACAAGGTCGCCTTTTATTATATAAAGATAGATAATAAAAGGCGACCTTGTACCGGCGGACGAAGTGTAGGGCGTTCCGCCACAAGATGGAGTGACGACCTGGTAAGACATGCAGGAAGTCGATGAATGCAGGTGGCTCATAGGCTACTACTACTACTTGTAAGGGCTGTAATGATGTTGAAATGTTGAACTCTCTGAATATATAATAAAGGAATTAATTCGATTACTGACGTTAACACTTTCACTGTCCAGTTTTGAGACACAATAGTAAGACAGCAATTACCTATATGGTGCACGGGACAGCGAAAGGGTTATATTAGTGATGTGCACGTATATTTTTTAAATAAATTTTGATTTCTATTGTTTTCAGCTGTACTTTTCGCATCTTTGTCGGCAATGGGAGTAACAGCGGGCGCGCACAGACTATGGGCACACAGAGCATATAAGGCTAAATGGCCCCTGAGACTCTTTTTAGCAGTGTTGCAAACAATGGCCTTCCAGAACCATATATATGAATGGGTGCGGGACCACAGGTACAACTTTCTTGCCATTTTGTAGTTATTTCTAAAGGATTTTAAGGGTAGTAGCTAGTTACAGACTATATACGACCTACTGCTGGGCACAGGCCTCTTCTCATTTCTGAGAGGGTTTTAGAGCAAGTAAATGTTCGCCGCGCAGCCCCAAGGCGTGTTGGCGAGCTTTACATGTCTTCGAAACCTTTTTAGGGTTCCGTAGTTACACACAAAGGAACCCTTATAGATTTGCCATGACCTAAAACAGCTGTATTATAACTTTGTTATATATTGTAAACAGTTAATAATAAACATTTTATATGAAGGGAACGACTTATATGCATTACTACTATAGCTTTACTTTATCATTTGCGGGATAGGCCGGGAGGATCTTTCTTACTTACTTATTAATTTCAACTATTTTTAGTTGGTAAGCTAGTTATTGTAGGCATTATCAAAGTATTCATACAATCATATAGCCTCATACAGTTTATTCGTCACACTCTTGGTTTACGCGGGCGACCTCAGGATAATTTAAGGCAGTATATCTTAGGGTCGCACAGCCGGGAATATATAGATAGATCGTCAACTAATATAAACATAAAATCATCTCTGTTTTTTTTTTTATATAGGAGAGGGGCAAACGAGCATGCGGCTCACCTGATGGTAAGTGACTACCGCCGCCCATGAACAACTGCAACACCAGGGAGGGAATTGCAGATGCGTTGCCGGCCTTTAAAAAGGAGTACGCTCTTTTCTTGAAGGTCCCTAAGTGGTATCGGTCCGGAAAAATCGCTGATGGTAATCGATTCCACAAGGAAGTCGTGCGAGGAAGAAAACATCTTCTAAATCGCACAGTGGTGGACCGCCAATCATCCAGATGGTGTGGATGGTATTGGGAGTTCTGCCGCAATGTGCGTTCGTGAAATTTGGCGGCTGGGATTAATCCGAACAATTCCTCAGAGCACTCCCCATGGTAGATGCGAAAGAAAATGCAAAGGGATGCAACATCTCTTCGCAGTGCCAATGAATCGAGCCGATCGGAAAGGGCTCGGTCGTCGACAATTCGAGCTGCTCTGCGCTGGATGCGGTCAAGTGGAAGGAGCTGGCACTGGGGAGCCCCTGCCCAGAGATGGGAACAGTATTCCATGTGAGGCCGAACCTGCGACTTGTAAAGTTGCAGGCGGTGTGCCGGCATGAAATACTGTCCCGCTCTGCTGAGCACGCCAAGCTTTTTTGAGGCCAATTTGGCCTTGTCTTCCAAGTGACCACGAAACTGCACGTCACTCGATATGTCGACTCCGAGGATATCGATACTGGCTGAGGCAAGAAGGGGAGTGCCTTGAAACTGAGGAGATACGACAAAGGGGTTCTTTTTAGCGGTTAACGCGCAAACTTGTGTCTTCTGAGGATTAAATTGGACTAGATTTAGTCGCCCCTAATCCGAGACTTTGTTCAGCAAAGACTCGACTTCAGACACAAGTTTGTTCCGGTACTCGGCGACGTTTTCCCGAGAAATATTGGCACGGCCTGTGTGTAAAGCATCACCAGTGCTGTCATCCGCATAGCAATGAATGTTACCAGTTAGCAACATATCATTGATATGCAGAAGAAACAGCGTTGGTGATAGCACACAGCCTTGTGGAACACCAGCGTTAATAGGCTTGTAGTCAGAACATGCACCGTCTACAACGACCTTGGTGCTCCGATCTGCAAGGAAGCTGGTGATCCAATTGCACAATTTCTCGGGAAGCCCATAGGAAGGGAGCTTCGGAAGAAGCGCTTTGTGCCAAACCCGATCGAAGGCCTTCGCAATGTCCAGACTAACGGCCAACGCCTCCCCTTTGGACTCTACTGCCTCCGCCCATCTATGGGTCAGGTAGACCAGAAGATCACCAGCTGATCGACCCCGACGAAAACCGTATTGGCGGTCACTAATCAGCTGGTGATCCTCAAGGTACCGGATGAGCTGGCAGTTAATAATGGATTCCATTATTTTGGAGAACAAGGAGGTGATCGCGATAGGCCTATAGTTGGATGGGTCTGAGCGGTCGCCTATTTTAGGGATTGGGTGGACAAAAACTGTCTTCCATGAGTTCGGGACTACGCCTTGGGAGTAGGAGTACCGGAAAAGACGCGTTAGTACCGGTGCCAACTCAGGAGCACACGTCCTCAGCACAATTGGAGGAATTCCGTCAGGCCCACTCGACTTCTGGATGTTCAGGGAGAGAAGTGCTTTGCGAACCGAGCGCTGTGAGAACAGCACATCCAGCATGGAGCACTCACACCGCGGGATGGTCGGCGGTGTTTTCCCCCCGTCATCAAGAGTCAAGTTGGATGCAAAGAGGGAGCCTAAAAGGTCGGCTTTATCTTTTGCGTCTTGGGCCAGTGAGTCGTCCTCCCTGTGCAGAGATGGTAGTGATGGCTTACAGAAATTCCCTTGGACAGCCTTGGCGACAGACCAGAATGCACGGGTTCTCGAAGGAAGGCGAACTAGTTTCTCGCCAATTCTGCCTATGTGCTCTGACTTTGCCCTGGCAATAACTCTTTTGAAGGACCTGGAGGCGAAGTTATACTTCTTTTTAAGTGTGCTGGTGTTTACATCCCGAGTCACCGAAGCCGCAGCCCAGGCTTGATAACACTCCTGCTTACTGCGTAATGCAGTCTTACAGGAGCGACCAAACCAAGGCTGAGATCTGCCTCCGATGGGTACCACAGATGATGGAATAAATAGTTTCATTCCCTATAGCACCACATCAGTGACAGAGTCAGCAACAGCGCTGGGATCATCCGGCGAAAAGCAAACCCGCCCCCATGGGTAGGATGCAAAGAAAGACCGCATTCCGTCCCAATCCGCCGACCTGTAATGCCAAACACGGCGGCAACCTGTAGAACGCAACCGCGAAGGGAGCGTGAGTGGCACTATACTCCGGATCAGACAATGGTCCGAAGAGCCGAGAGGGGCATCGACGGAAACCTGATATTCGTCCGGATGAGAGGTCAGCAGAAGGTCCAACAGGGAAGGTGTATGATCCTCCACATCTGGAATCCGCGTAGGCGAAGTAACCAATTGTGTCAGACCATATCTATAGAGGCACCCGTAGATGCGCGGATGGTCGTCGCTGTCTACGCGTAGCCAAAGGATGGACAGGTACGAACCTTCAAGACTGCCGAGGCGTCGAGAACAGATGTCCTCTCTGACATACACGCAAACTCCAGCCCGAGGCACAATGGAGTGCTCCAATTTGTACCCCGGGTAGGAGAGATACGAAATATCAGCCGGAGAGGAAACCTGCGTCTCGGTCAGAAAGAGCAAGGCCGGCTTCGCCGTCTCGAGATGGTAGTGGACGGCGTTTAGGTTAGAGTAAAGTCCCCTGGTGTTGCAGAAATTCACGGATAGCATGGTGGCAGGGATCGCCTTGGTATTGTTGCTCAGTTTGCCCCGAGCAGTTATGTTTTTGAGCGGAATTTTGCCCCCCCCCCCCCCCAGAATACGCGGAGCAGCCTGAGCACCCACGCTCAGGATTGGAATAATATGGTCGTGGATGCTCAGCGAGGGATTCTCCAGGGGTACTGGTACACTCCTGAGGTAGTCTATCGTGTAATTCCGCTACCATGTTGGTGGAGGGGGGGGGGGGGGAATTGGGCCTCCGGCCACCTGCACTCACCAGACGAAACGCAGAAGCAGAGCTTCTACTTCACGCCGGTTTTCTGTGAGGTCGTGGTACCAACCGTACCGTACCGTAACCGTACCGTGCAAAAACTGCTGCGTGGCTCTACCACCGTTAGAGTGGAATGATTTAGTGTAAATTGTATTATTTTCGAAATCGAAAAGTATTTTTTTTTATTCCACTCCCTATTCTGATTTGAAATACATACTATATCCTTCAGTTACAATATTCCTAATTGGACTCATTATTAGTCGTTATAGCGGTCAAACCGTATTATGCTCATTATCAACAAAGTCCATGTATTGTGTGGCTCGACACTCACTTGGCCAGTTTTCTATTTTTCTTATTTCGCAGACATGCAGGTTTCCTCACGACGTTTTCTATCACCGCCGAGCACGTGATAAATCAGCACTTAAAATTTCAATTAACAATCTCATTGGTGCCGGCGCGGATCGAACCCAGGTTACTCGCGTACTGTGGAATTCACAGCGAGCGCTTAGCCCCTGACGTAATGGTTATGGGTACGGATTTAAAAGCAAAAAGTAATGAGTTCGAGTCGAATTCGAGCGGTGAACCACTTCTGACATATTTCAACTTAAAACATACAGTTGTACGGCTTCAATCACGCTAACAATTTACACGGTGCAGCAAAAATATTACGGTTGCAACTAGACACGGGACGAGTACTCGGTTTGGATTCGGTACTCGGCGGATTCGGCCTTTTTTTAGGGTTTGGCCGAGCACCGAGTATTAACGGCCGAGTACCGAGTGATCGGCCTTAATTATATTCCAGAGAAAAATAAAGACAAAAAGCCAGTTTTTATCATTATTATTATATTAGACACATTAAGACATCAGGAACATGAAAATCAGCAAAAATATTTAAAACGTACATCAGAATCTATAATAGAAATTATTATTGCTAATATTTAAAATTTAAGAGAGGAAGATTGTGATGCAAAAACACTAGTTTTTCAGCCCTATTTGGGTATAGTTTTTAAGGGAAATAACCGCACGCCTCCCGCTACCGCGTTTTTTTAAAGCCGAGTATTCGACAGAGTACTCGGCCTAATCTGGGCCGAGTACCCGGTGGCAGAGTACTCGGCGAATCACTACTCGTTCCATGTCTAGTTGCAACACGCACGGGTCGCTTCAACCGGGGAAGGATCGCGCTTGTACAACATACCAGTGTGAGATAGCACCATGATGAATGATGACACCCCGAGACCCTCTTTACTGCTAACAAAATATTCGATCTTAGTATTCAGGGGTGATACCGCATCTGCGATCTGATTCTTAAACGATGGTGTCTATTAATCACGGTATCTACATACCATCAGGTGGGATGTGCGCTCGCTTGTCACTCTTACTTCTTTGAAAAATAGTGTAACTAGTGTGATGATTACTCGTCCCACTTAGGTATTATCTTTTTTTTTATAGGAGAAAGGGCAAACGAGCATGCGGCTCACCTGATGGTAAGTGACTACCGCCGCTTATGAACAACTGCAACACCAGGGGAACCAGGGGAATTGCAGATGCGTTGCCGGCATTATTATTTAATTTATTATTATATAATCACTTAGGTATTATAGGTATATTCAAAGTAAAGTTTATACGATAAGATCGTTTTAGACCCGGATGTGTCAAAAACACAGAAATATTTTTGCTGTACACCAAACATAGACTTTGTGTTTCTCAGTAAACTAAAAATCTGTGTTTATGCACAAATATTGACTTCGATTCAATTGGCCAATTGGTCAACGCACGATCAGAATACATCATTGTATCATTTCACAGTATATTTATATTTTTACTTGCAGTCAGACGAAATTCATAATTGCAGTATACAAATGCGTTGAAAATTGTAATTTCTTTAATTAGAATTTCTATTCGCGACTGGTCGTCGCTGCCGGTGAAAAAGGGCTGTTTCATTTCTCGCTTAAAGACTAAGTCCTATACTTTTTATAGATATACATATATAGGCAAATAATAAATAATATAGAAATTAAAACGCAATAAATAGTTGCCTTCAGTTTAATCAGTGTACTCATACCTAACTCATTAATAACTAAGTCCATTCCGTACCTCTAAGGCAATCTATGGGAGAGGTTTACGTTCAACAGTGGAATTTTGATAAGCTCTAACTAATGAATTCATGAATTAATGCCTGATACTAACTATATCTCTAATTAGGGTACATCACAAGTTTACGGAAACGGACGCTGACCCGCACAACGCCAAACGAGGATTTTTCTTCTCGCACATAGGCTGGCTGATGGTGAGGAAACATAAGGACGTATTTGAAAAAGGCGCCACCGTTGACATGTCAGATTTGGAAAAAGACCCTATTGTTATGTTTCAAAAGAAGTAAGTAAAATACTTTTTAACAGACGTGTGACTTTGGCACAAGTTCTCCTATTCACTTTCTGCAGCATGTATTCATAATGAGGTAGATAGAGCATTGCATTCACTTTCACTGCCATAGCATACTTAAACCCTTTGTCATAGTATAATATATGTGATAATATATATGATAAGTATATGTATGACTGAACCTAGTTGAAAAACAGAACAGAGTAGAATAATTTTATATTATTATATTTTATTCAATATAGATTACAAAAATACTTTTTTTATATATAATTTTGTTATAAATAAATATGTTACATAATTTTGTTACTTAAATGTATAGGCTTTATATTTAAGTAACAAAATTAAAACTGCATCTAACAAAATTAAAATGACCTGGAAAATAATAAATAGTAAAACGGACAAGGTCAAACAGCGCAACTTGGTTTTTCAATTAAATATTAACAATAATTTAACTCGATATGATCAAGAAGTTGCTATGGCTTTTGAGAAACATTTTACTGATGTTCCTTTTTTGTCAACTAAATCATTAAATTCTTCTCCTACTGTCGCCGAATCATTGCTAAAACAAAATGTAAAGGCTTGTTCAAATACTTTTAAATTCCATAAAGTACTGCCAAAAGATATCATTAAACATTTTAAAACTATTGATGTTAATAAAACGGCAGACTTATAGGGGATTTCCGTTAAAGCTATTTTATCTCTAATAGATATAATAGCAACTTATCTAGCCACTATACTTAATACAAACGTCAAATCTGGTGTGTTTCCTGATTTAATGAAACATAGTAAAGTCATACCTTTATTTAAATCTGGTAGTACGATAGACCCCGCCAATTTTAGACCATCGCTGTGCTACCAAAATTTAGTAAAATTTTTGATAAAATAATTTTAGATCAGATGTTAAGTTTTTTTAATATTAATAAACTGCTACATAAAAATGAATTCGGTTTTACAAGGGGTCGCTCGACAACTGACGCTGGAGTTGAGCTTATTAAATATATTTTTTGTGCATTGGAGAATTCAGAAGTTGCTTTGGGTATATTTTGTGACCTTTCCAAGGACTTCGACTGCCTTCACCATGAGACATTAATCAGGAAGCTACAGTACTATGGTGTCAAGAACACAGAGCTTAAACTTATTATTTCATATTTAAGTGATAGAATGCAGAAAGTTATTATCAATGGTAAAAGTTCTTCCGGTTCACCTGTACCAATGGGTGTTCCTCAGGGCTCGATTCTTGGCCCATTCCTATTTCTAGTGTATATTAATGACTTACCTTCTCTTGTAGGGGATAATCATGATATAGTATTATTTGCTGATGACACTTCCTTGATTTTTAAACTTAAACGTCAATCATTTAAATGTGACGAAGTGAATGATGCTATATTAAAGTTAGTGCATTAGTTTAACGTTAATAATCTACATTTAAACGGAAATAAAAGTAAATGTATTAAATTTAGAACAAAGAATGTTCTAAATCTGAATACCAATGTGTTCTTAAATTTCTCTTAGAGTTCTTAACGGGAAGAACTGAGCCCTGTTGAATCCACTGTTTTTCTTGGCTTGTACTGTAAGTTCTGCAGCCTATGCTGTAAAAAAAATTAGAGGTCTCACTAGTGTTGAGACAGCTAGATTAGTTTATTTCAGTCATTTCTATAGCATAATGTCTTATGGGATTTTGCTATGGGGAAATGCGGCTGATTCAGAAACTATTTTTGTTTTATAGAAGAGGGCCATTAGAGCTATTTACAACCTAAAACCGAGAGAGTCTCTTAGAGATAAATTTAAAGAAATAAATATATTAACTTTGGCCTCTCATTTACCAAAATTTAATGAATCTTTACAAAAAAAAAGTAGTTTTAGTAAAAAAAAAGTGATATACATTCTGTAAACACTAGGAACAAACACAAGCTAGTGATACCAGTTACTCAACTCCACATAATCAGTAATTCATTCTTGGGGCAATGTATACGCTATTACAACAAGGTCCCGGAAAGTGTACAGGCTCTCTCTATTACCAATTTTAAATGTTTTGTTAAGTTGAAACTGTATAAAAAGGGTTATTATAGTATAAATTAATACATGGTTGATAATAATCCCTGGGAATGAGGTGGTCGCTTCCAAGCTGTTCTAAAATAAATTTTGTACTTATACAGTTTGTATAACCATTAATGTAAAATTTGCTTTAAAAAAAAAAGTCCCGCTGGGTTTCTTGCTGGTTCTTCCCAGGACAGAGGATTTTTTTCGAACCAGTTATAAAGTAGAAAATGACTTTCAATAAGAATTACACATGTAATCTATATTGAATAAAAAATTATTCTATTCTATTCTGAAAGTCATGTATACTGTAACCACTGGTTTAGAAAGAAACTCTGTTCTGCGAGCAACCAGCAAGAAAGCCTGTGGTACTTTTAAAATATTAATTTACAACATATTCTGTTGCACAATTAATATGAAAGTAATTAGAAGCAACATGGTAGTGATCACCTCAGACCCTGAGATCCGTACCGTGTTTGTTGTACAACTAAAATATGCAAAATGCTTTCACAATACAAGAGAAAATTTAAGTTTAAAAAATTATGATATGAAAGATCTGCAAAGGTAATCACAGTTTAAACTAAATATTTAAACATCACAACAAGTAAGATATGATAATTAATACAGTGTTTCATTTTCTTCCAGAACGTATCTTATAGTTATGCCGATACTATGCTTTTTGCTTCCCGCTTGGATACCAGTGAAGTTGTGGGGGGAAAACCCATGGTATTCCTGGTACGTTGCCGCCATGTTCCGCTACACGTTGTCGCTGCATTTCACGTGGCTCGTCAACTCTGCGGCTCACATCTGGGGCAACAGGCCATACGACAAGTAAGAGATTGCTTCTACAATCACTTTATTATCATTTCACTCTATAATTTCACAAATATAACGAGGAAGCTGTCATGTAGGACAAATATCTCAGTAAATAATTTTCTGAATTAACTATAACATATAATTAACAAAGAGTATAATTGTAAACTCGATAAAATAAAAATTATTTTTTTTGATAAAATATTTTTAACGAGGCATTCCATCGTGTTCCTCATATATTACAACGCATCTCCATTTTGAATCTTATTCGATGGTAGATGAAGGTATCAACGGATCACAGTATCCACTGTGTTCTTTTACACACTTACTTTTTTTTTAAACAGTCTGTGTGTTGAATTAATTAAAAGGCCTTTCAAAATTATTTAATTATTATGAATAAACGTTTGTTTAGTTAATGAAGTATTTAGCTTTTAAGGTGGGACTCTTTTTTGAGTATCTCGTGTAGGATCTTTGGAGTCTTAGGATCTTTGAACTTTTGTGTCTTGATGAATATTACTTGTTTGCAAGATATCATTGGTATGCAGAAGAAACAGCGTTGGTGATAGAACGCAGCCTTGTGGAACACCAGCGTTAACGGGCTTGTAATCGGAGCATGCACTGTCTATACGACTTTGATGCTCCGATCTGCAAGAAAACTGGTGATCCAATTGCACAATTTCTCTGGAAGACACAATAACTGGCATTGTGGAAATGGTGCAAAGATGAGTTTCTGATAGATGACAATGTATTTGTGACTACCGTTTGTTTTAGAGACTACAGATCCGTTGGGTCTATACGCAGTGAAGTTTCTAAAACAACTGAATCTGTAACTGGTCATCGCCGCAAATACAAGGGGGGTTGGCAACCGAACCGAACCGAAGACGACTCGATCTGGTAACATACAACGCACGCACCCTAAGGACTGACAGGAAGATCATGGAGCTGGAAGAAGAGACAGACAAGTTGCGCTGGGATGTTATAGGATTATCTAAGGTCCTAATCACCGAGAGGGCGAACATCTGACCCAAGGAGGTGTTGGATTTATCGCCCACAAGTATCACGTTCACTACGTAATAAAGATTGTGAGTGTGTCGACGAGAGTTGCGTACCTTATACTCAGAATCACCAAACGGTATTCGTTGAAGGTCATACGCACCAACCTCGGCACATCAGGATCGGATGTGGAGGTGGAGAAAATGTATAAGGATATCTCTAAAGCCATTCATTCCTCCAAAACTCGCTATGCTGTGTTAATAGGAGACTTCAACGCAAAACTAGGCACAAGAGACAACGGTGAGCTGAAGGTAGGGAAATTTGGAATAGGGCAACGGAAATTTGGAACGGGAGAAAGAGGGACTTTTTATGATAAAATCTTTCTTCCAGAAACAGCCTCACAAAAAGTGGACCCGGTCGAGCACCGCTGATTTGACAATAAATGAGATTGACTTCATTATGACGACTAGACGGCAACTGAAAATTGATAGCGATCACCGAATGGTTAGAGGCACACTGAACCTAAACGTTAAGTTGGAGAGGTCTCGTCTAAAGAACTCAACGTTCCGTCCCCATCGTGCTATAATCTCCCTAAACCTTTTAGCTCGAGTTACAAAACCGTTTTCAGAGTCTAGAAGATTGCAATGCAGTGGACGATATGAACGACAAGCTCGTGGAAACTTTCCATGCAATCGAAACTAAGTTCTGCAAGACCCGCCGCAGAATAACACAAAAACTTTTCGATCACACTCTTAATGTTATGGCTGCAAGACGGGAGATGAAGCTACAGTCTTCAGAAGATTTGACAGCATACAGGCAAATGAAGAGACGTGTAGACACGTTTTGTACGTGGTAGAGCAATGCTGCAGCTATATTAATAGTATAGTTGTAGCACGAATGGGTCGGCTCGGCCGGGGAAGGACCATGCTCTCACAGAATACCAGCGTCAAATAACAGCTTCATGCTGTTGTGTTTCGTATGGTGAGTGTAGAGAACCGGAGACCCTTTTTACTGGAAAAGAGGCATTCTATCTTAGTCCTTACGGGTGACAACGCATCTGCATTTTAATTCGCAAACGAGGATAACTGTAGATGTCTATGGGCCACAGCAACCACTTACCATCACGTGGACTGTGTGCTTGTTTGTCACCCTATCCTATAAAAAAAATGTCCAAATGCATGCGGCGGGACTTACGCAACTTTAATACTGCTCATATTGAAGAAGCGATCAAGTGGAACCAGGGCTCCGAAATCTTTGCCAGAGATCTGTCAGCCAGAAAGAGCCAACTGTCGAAGCTGAAGACTGAATGTGGCAGCATCGTTTCCAGGACACCTGAGATTGATAGGTTCTATGGGCAGCTGTACACGTTATCGTTGAAGCCACACGCAAGTGTGAGTAACGATCCAAGAGCAAGTCTTATCCGACACTACACCACACTACACCGACATGCCGTACTTGAGTCTGAGAGAGATTAGAATGGCTCTCCAGCACCTTAAAAACGGCAATTCCCCGGGCGAGGATGGAATTACAGCGGAACTTCTGAAAGCGGGTGGAACCGGTACTTGAAGTCCTTTAGAAGCTCTTTAACTCCGTCCTCCATGGTGGTTCTTCAGGAAAGGCGCAATGCTCTCGTGAAGAACTACAGACCAATTTCCCTTTTGAGACACGTCTACGTGCTGTTTTCGAGAGTCATTACGAATAGTCTCGGACGCAGACTCGACGACTTTCAGCATCCCGAACAAGCCGGTTTTTGAAAGGGCTTTAGCACCATAGACCACATACATACCCTTCGGCAAATTTTACAGAAGACATTAGAGTACAATCTGCCACTTTGTCTTGCGTATGTGGACTATGAAAAAGCCTTTGATACCGTCGAATTGTACGGTACTGCAGTCCCTTCAGCGGTGCCAAGTTGACTGTCGGTATATCGAAGTGCAGAAGTGTTTGTACAGCAGGGCTACGATGGCTATCCGAGTACAGAACCAGAGTACAAAACCTAACCAACTGCAGAGAGGTGTAAGATAGGGTAACGTTATATCCCCGAAACTCTTCACCGGTGTATTGGAAGACGTTTTCGAGCTACTGCACTGAAAAGTATACGGTATTAACGTCAATGGAGTGTACATCACTCACCTTCGATTTTCCGACGATATAGTTCTTATGGGATTATCGCTGGAGGACCTAAGCACTATGACCTTAATAGTGTCTCCCAACGGATAGATCTTAAGATGAACAAGGACAAAAAAGTCATGTGTAACGTCCATATCACACCTATGCCGGTAGTTCTTGGGAGCATTTAAGCTCGAAGTTGTTGACGAATATGTTTACCTGGGACAAATAGTCCGACTTGGTAAGTCCAACTTCGACCGAGAGGTCAATCTGTGGATTCAACTCGGCTAGGCAGCGTTCGGGAAAGTACGGTATACATCTTCTCGTCAGGCATACCTCAAAACCTAAAAAGAAAATTTTTCAACCAGTGTGTGTTACCATTGATGACTTATAGATCTGAGACGTGGTTCTTCACTGTTGGCCGTATGATTAAGCTTAATTTCACTCAGCGAAAAATTGAGAGGGCTATGCTCAGGATTTCTCTGCGTGATAGATTTAAAAACAAGGATATCCGCAGTGGAACCAGAGTAACCGACATAGCCCAACAGATCAGTAAGCTGAAGCGGCAATGGCCGGCCATATAGTTCGAAAAACCGACAACCGATGGGGAAGAAAGGTTCTCGAGTGCAACGGAACCAACCTCGTACCGGCAGGCGAAGTGTAGGGCGTTCCCCCACTAGATGGAGTGAAGACAGTAGCTCGGGACCGTGCTTTGTGGCGTTCCTTTGGGGAGGCCTTTGTTCAGCATTGGACTTGTGATGGACTGTAATGATAAATATGAGACTTATTCGCTTAACAGACTTTTTTTAAATATCCTATTATTATTTTATAACTGTAAAAGCCATATATTGAGTTTTATAACTACGCATGTTTTAATAGTCGATAAATAACGCCTCCGTAGGAAGAAGCTTAAAGGCTTGGGCGCCCGTTCAGACTTCAACTCTTCTATCGACAAAGCTGACAACTTCGAACGTATTTTGTACCTAACTTGGCCTGCTTTTCACATTTATTATATTTTTGATTGGACATCATTAATTTTTAAACAGCCTTTTTTTTCTTCTAAATAAATACTTGCTCTCTTTTCTTGCGTTTACGCTTCAAAGTTTTTTTTTTACTATATACTATAGGAATTAAACGTTGACTAATATATTAAAGCAGTTAGTTTCAACAACAGTATTTAGAATAAGCTGCACCAATAACATTATCGGCACTTTTTCCACACCGAATCCATAATTTATAGTTTTCAAATTTTTTCCTTTTATATATCTAAGCATAACGATCTACATAACCATAATATGATGACAAATTACAATTCCCTAAGAAACCTCTATGTGGCTTAGATTTTTGATGAGAAAGCCAGTTATTGTGTCTTGTTCAGGTTTTCGATCGGTATGTCAGTTACAGTGACGAATAAAAATGGCAATTTTTAAACCTTATTAACTCAAGGACTATAATAGGTTTAGTCTCATGAAAATTAAGCTTCCACGTATTTAATAGGTTTTAATAAGCATACAAATGACGAGTTTGTAGGCCTAAAACTTTTTGAGTTATAGAAGTTCGAATGTAGCTTGAAATGGTTCATGTAAATCTCTATTTTTCAAAAAATTACGGGAGAGCAAGAAAACATTTATTATTCCCCGATTACCCGAACCCGATTACTAGCTTTTTTGGCAAGAAAGTTAATCGTATGTGTAGTTTTTCATTAAGTCAAATATATTTAATTTTCTGAAATCGCAAATTACCCCCCCCCCCCTTCCCTCCCCCCCAATATGTGGGTTTATGAGATAGTTGCTACGATTGGCAAGCGGGTTAGTGACCGCAGTTTATTATTATTTATTTAGTAAAGTTTATGATATCGATATTGCGCCTGACGCAATTAGACAATAATAAAACAAAAATATTTGCTATTTCAGATATATAGGCGCTACTGATAACAAAACCGTTGCAATTTGCGCTTTTGGCGAGGGTTGGCACAACTATCATCACGTGTTTCCCTGGGATTATAAGGCAGCTGAGCTTGGACACTATAGCACAAATATTTCTACAGCTCTTATTGACTGGGCAGCAAAGTACGGTAAGAAAATAAAATCTATCAAGTATCGCTTAACTTAAATTATTAACTTAAAATATCGCTTTAAACTTAAGTGGAAACTTATACACAATAGTTGCATTACGTATATACATAATATTCATGTTGTTATCCATGCAAACTGCAAAAGGATATCGTGATAAACGCCAGGCTTGTAAAGATAAAGTGGTTCCCTCTTTACTAGTCCATACTATCGCACCTACTCTCCTGCATTTTATCTGCAAAGTCACGCTCACGCGTCACGCACTAGACTTCCGTGTACTCGTGTGTGTGAGATATTAAAACAATTTTTCAAACAATTATTTAGGATTTCGCTTCTGGATAAAAATAAATTGATTTCTTTTCAAACGAAAAGGCACGGTTTCATAAAACATGAACTCCCATAAGTACATGTTCCATATTATGATGAATGCTTCTTTTTTAAAATAACCAATTGTGCAAAGAAATATATGTATGAGTATGTATGTGTATATATAATTACTTATTCTAAAACTCACAAAACGCAATAAGCTCTTCAAACTGGATAAGACATGCCATTTTTTTCACGCGGATGTAGATGTAGAATTTTTAATTAATAGTAGAATTAATTGGAAATAATTGAAAAAAAGAAATTAGTGCAAGACAAAGCTGTAAAAAGAAACGACGGGAAAGTCGGATATTATTATAGTAGTTTTTTGATTATGTTTTCATCAGGGGCGGATTTGAACTTTACGGGGCCCGGGGCTAAAATTGAGAAGGGGCCCACTTAAGGACAGCGAAAAAAGCTATTTATCAAATATAAAATAAATTAATTTATTAATTTACTATAAATTATTTATTATAAACTATTATTTATAGATACAATGAAGTACAAACAATTATTTTAAAATTCGATTAAAAAAGTTTTTCTTGATTTTGCTGTAGCAAAATCATGAATTAAGTCACCGAAGTCAATTGATCTCAATAAGTCGACTTCGATGCTTAATCTTGTTAAAGATGACAATCTGTCGTCTGACATCGTTGATCGATACATGTTTTTTATTCTTTTCAAAACTGAAAATGATCTTTCTGATTCGCAATTTGCGATTGTAAGTGTAAGTATATGTAGTATCCTGTAAGCAATATAGGTATACGGAAAAACTTGTATCATGCCTAAATCTACAAGCCAATTTAAAACTTTTAAGGGACACAAGATTTCATCATTTGCACTTGTGTTTTTTCCTGTACGATTGGAAAAAAGCCCTTAGGCTGCCGTTTTAAACATGGTGTAAATTGTTTCAATTCAACTGATAATTTTTTTTCTAAATTGTCAGAGTAAACCTTTACGAGATTTGCTACTTTTTTTTTCTAATACATCTGTCTCTATAAATAATAATTGTGTGAGAAAGCCAAATAGTTGAATGATGCGATCATATGTTTCACTCCGTTTCTGCAACTCGGCAACTAATTTGTCTATAATCACATAAAATGTGTTTACTTGGAATTTATCAGCCGGGCTTAAGCTACTAGCTTGTGATTCTTTGTCGGTTAGCATTCTTGTGACCTTTCGTTTGTTTGCATTAGAATATTCTTAATCCACAAAATTACTTAGTTGTTAGGCTTGATTTTCAATGTCGGAAAAAGTATCTCGCAAATCTGCCACAAAATCCACTAATGAAAGTAGCATGTTATTTGCAGAAATTAAATCTGTATCAACTTCTTGAAGGCATTGACTAGTCGCGTTAAAGCGGCTTAAAACATTATTCCATAGAATCGCCATTAAAACATTTTCAAGTTTTTTTATATGTTTCAATAAAGCTTCAGCTTCTTTTCGAGTTTCGCGTTTTTGTTCTTCGTCATTCGCTAAAATTTCTAGAACCCTATAAATACCTCCATGACTCTTTACTACAACTTTTGTGGCGTCTCCACGACATGACCATCTCATTTTCGATAAGCTCGTTAGTTTAGAATTCTCAGTGATTAAGATGTCCCACCGATGTGTTGATGCACTAAAGAATGCATATAGCCGCTGTAAAATTCCGAAGAAATTTGTAGCATCAAGACATACGTCGACACTACATTCTCCCACTAAGTTTAGAGAATGGCCAGCGCAAGGCACGTAAAACGCTAATTCATTTTTTTCTCTAATACAAGCTTGAAGTCCAATATATTTACCGGACATATTGGAAGCGTTGTCATACGTCTGAGCTCGGTAATTTTTAATGTCGAACCGTGCTCCTGTAGTAAATCTAATACGTCATTACTAAGAGACCTATCTTTATGACTTTTTATTTGTAAAAAGCAGAAAAAACGTTCATAAACGTGACGATCTAAGTAGGATCGGAAAATGTGAGTAGTATCGGAGATGTGGGATATATCTGGGGTAGAATCTACGACGAGTCCCCAATATTTTGCACTGTGTATTTCATCAATAATACGTTTTAATACTTTTGCAGCCATTAACTCTATAAATTCTTCGTATATAGTTTTAGATAAATAAGAGACTGTACCACTGCCTTTGTGACCACTTTTTTGCCACTAATTGGCGCTGAATTTATTCTATACAAATTGTCGTTAACTTTCTCGGTATCGAGTGCGTAAAAACAACATCTCGCACTAGGCACACAGAGATATCTCTCTGTCATTACACTATCTAGCCCTCACAAACTAGTAAGAAGTGCTAGCGCACTAGCCCTTTTTGGCCCTGCCTCGTTTACTGGCGATCTGGTGAGGTCTTTACAACATTGTTGTCTTTACAACAATAAATAAGTGAAAAAAATAATAATAAATAGTATAACAGATTTAATTTTTCTCTTTTTGTTTTCTTTAGAATTGTAATTAAATAATCTTTCATATGAATTTATTTAAATTATATAAGTAAAAACGAAAATCGCAACCTTTGGCATGAATGAATAACTCAAATTATTGCGCGATAAACATTAAAATTCTCTGGTAGAAATTTCCCCCAACCGTTAGTTAACCGAAAGTTAACCGATGGCAAATTAAAAATCGTAGGTAATTTTGGTTAACTTATTTTCTTTGGAAAACATTTTACTTTTATTCAAAATTCTTTGAAACAGGTTTAAAAAATTTATTTTTGATTCGAGACCGCGGGGCCCCCTCCCTAGGTGGGGCCCGGGGCTATAGCCCCCCCTAGTCCTTCCTTTAATCCGCCACTGGTTTTCATCTTCTTCCTATTGATATCATAAGATGGAATTGTGGGAAATGTATTTGCTGATTTACAAAATCAAATTAAAAAAAAACATAGTGTTGGGTCCTCCGTAGATATGGGCGCTGCAAAGCTCTTAGAGATCTAAATATGTGCTTAAAATGAGGAAATGGGTAAAACATTTTATTATATTATGAAATAATTTTTCCCGTTTTCATTTAGCACACCAGGCAGTGTTCGTTATGGTTGTCAGTTTGATCTGGCAGCACTCCTTGTGAAGCATTTTCTTTAAAACTTTACTAAAGATTATAACTCCGATATAATAACTCAGCAGACTGGTAGTGGAGTTTTCAGAACTCTGGAAATTGCTAGTTCAAATATCCTTCAAGAACAGTTCTTAACTTTATAAACTAAATAATTCTTTGACTTTGCTAAAATTCTTTTTAACCAATTATTTATATTCGCTGTAAGTTGTAGCACAAAATTAATGCACTTCCCGTGTGGTGCGATAATCTTGTGATTAAATTTTATAGATATATGTATATAAATTATATAGGTACTTAATTCATAATGACCGTCATCATCACAGCCCATCACAAGTCCTCGGGTGAACCAATTCCTCGGCCCCTACCCCAAGGAATAGGTATTACTATGTCGTTATACCAGACTTATATTATACCGATGCGAGAAGTCTGGTACTGCGTGGGTGGCGGTATATATATATGGAGTGTCATTACCTAGAGTTCTTGTATTGTACATATTTATTTTTTCTGCCAACTTCCAAAAAGGAGACGGTACTCAATTCGACTGTATGTTTTTTTATGTGTGTTACCTCATAACTTGTTACTGGGTGAACCGATTTCGATGATTCTTTTTTTATTTGAAAGCTGGTACTTCTCGTATTGTCCAGTCAGTCAGACCAATAGTTGTTGAGTTATTCTTAATAACTTATATTAGAGTCGGGTGTACAAAATTTTTAATTATTTTAGAAATGTTTTTGTTACGTGGTTATTGTTTTAAAGACTAAAGTAGTTAGGAATAGGTATATTTGTGTTTATCATGTAGCAACTACTATATTAAAAAAAAAAAACGAAGAATCGGTTCATAATTTAGTATTTTATACTAGGACCACTAACAATTTTTACCTATAAAATATGTATAGTTTAAAAAAATTATTGTATAATTAAATGTACGGAATATAGCGAAACCCTACTAACAAATGGCCGGTTTTTTATTTATAAATTTTGACTTAAATTCGTATAATTTGTAATAATCAAATATTATTTAAAAATAAATATTACATACTAATTTAATGATTGACTTCGCCATTTTCTTTAATATTATGTGATCCATCTCTGTTATATCTTATTTCAAAAGTCTTGAGCTGTCACTGAGGGCTGTCTATGAGACAAGATATGTAAAATATTCCGGAAAGGCCTGTAATCAGTAGGGAATTCAAAAGCTGATATGGACTGAAAGATTGTCGTCATATTCATAATTGGCCAGGATAATATCATTATAATAATTACTATCTGTCTACATCAAAAAATCTCCCAATACTCAATATGGTTAAAACCAATCTTACCAGTCTCCAACTTAATTCCTCCTTAAACCACAGAATAAATAATAGTGCTTAAACTTAATTCCTTCCTCTCCGTTCCATCATCGGACCTCCAGACATACGACTGGTCTCCACCCCTTTTTTGATATACCTTGCGTTTGGACAAAACGTTTTGCATTGTCGATCCTGATAGCTCCGTGGCGCAGTGGCTTATCAAAGAGTAGCAGCGCAGAGGGTAGCGGGTTCGAATCCCGCACGGAACAAGTATTTGTATGGCCTACAAATAAGTGTTCCGAGTCTGGATGTTTGTTCTTGTGAAATGTATGTGTGTAAACTGCCCCCACGATACAGGAGAAAATCCTAGTGTAGAGATAACGTTAAAAAATAAAACAAAAGAAATTCGTACAGCAAAGAAGTGGAATAATTTGGCAGCATCTGTCTTTCCATCCAATTATAATGTGGGTATCTTCAAGACAAGAGTAAATAAGCTTTTGTTAAGATGAAGAAGTCAGCGAGCTTCTTCTTGTCTCGCTGCTTATCATCAGGTGGGGTAGTAGTCAAGCACTGGCTATTATTAATTTAAAAAAAACATTTTAACCTTGGAAATGGGTATTGTTGATAATCATATTTTTTTCGATTATTTTCAGGTTTAGCGTACGATTTGAAGACCGTATCTGGAGACATGATCCGTAAAAGGGTATCAAGAACTGGTGACGGCTCCCATCCTTTAAGTAAAGGAGAGGCAAATTCAAATGAAGATCACCACCACCCGGAGAATCCAGTGTGGGGTTGGGACGATGAGGATATGCCAGAAGAGGATAGAAAATTAGCCGAAATAACAAACAAATCGGACTGAACGCTTAAAGCGTAGAGTATATTTTTCTGTAAATTTTGTACCAAATTATTTTAATGAAACATTAACTTATTGCTTACAACATAATAACGGGGTAGCAAACACGTTGTACTTAAAAAAAAAACAGAACAAGATAATTACCGTGAATAGTACAACAATGAAAGGGTCAGTATTATGTAATCCGTGTATTTATCTGTAGAAATTTATTTATTTATATATTTTATATTTTCCTTGAATATGTAAGGAATGAAAAATATCTGCAAACCCAAATCTAAGTGTGTGTGCGTGTGCATGCGTGGTTGCATGTGCATGCGTGGTTGCGTGCGTGCCTGTTTATGTGGTTGTGTGTTAGCTTGTACGTGTGAGAACGAGCACGCCTGCGCGCTTTCTCGCGTTTGTGTGTGCGTGGATGTTGTTGCGTGTGTGCGTTCATGCGCGCGCGCATTTGTGTGTGTGTGTGTGTGTGTGTGTGTGTGTGTGTGTGTGTGTGTGTGTGTGTGTATGTGTGTTTATATTTGTAAAGGAATTGTTTGGCACAAGTCAATTTAAATGCTCAAATTATTATATTTTAAAACTCCGACAAATATTCTTGAAAAGCTCTCATTGGTCTATATAATTATTAGAATTTGCAGTTTGTTCCTATTATTCTCTATAATTATTTCTTTATAATTATAAATATTTACTTATGATTTCGTATACGTAACTTAAAAATAAACAATAGTGCAAAAGTAATAGAATTTCGCTTTTAAATAAAATTATTTTATAAGAGTTTTATCTCGTATATTAATTTATTTTTCCCGACGTTTCGAGTACTTTACAGTATCCATGTCTCCCCCGTGAAAATGGGTGCTGGATGATCCGGTGTTATCGCCTTTGCAGCTAGATCTATGATCTTCGCATGTAGAGTCGTATCCCTATACGAGCATTTAAGAAGGCGTGACACCATAGTGTCAATTACGATCACGACACGCTATTACATGAATATATGAATAGTTTTTTTTTTTAAATTGAAGTGTTTTTGTATGGTAAAAACGGCACAAAAGCACTTTGAATAATCGGGATTTAGATCGCAGTGATTGTGACCGTATTTCGCAACAAAAAAAAAAATGCAGAAAATTCGATTCGTAAAATGTTGTGTGTTTTTGTTTTGTTAAACATAAAACATTACATTCAGCTATTATTGCTTTTAGTGTATAATTATGTCGGAAAAATATAGTAAAAATGTATATATTTAATTACAATGTTACTGAAGTGTTATGAGTAAATTAAAATGTTAAAATTATTAATTAAATCTCACTAGCAAACTAAATAATTGTTAAAGTTATAAAAACCAGATAAATTTATTTTAAACCTTTACCACTTTCAGTAAATATCATAAACTTTTTTTGTTATAGCACCTCCTTGTAATGTTTTCTAGGGACGGTTTTTAATACATATATTATGAATGTTATGTTATCTTAATTTGTAACTAATAATTATGGTGACAAATTGTGGCGACAAACAACGATCGTAAAAGTGTCAAAATAATAATTTTAAGAACATTAATTACTAAGCTTAATGTAATATAAAATATATACTTTTTAAATATTAAAAATGTACGAGTAAATGTCGTTTGATGTGTTGTAAAATGTAGTATTTATTTTTATTATGTAGAATGTTAAACTCGTCTATTATAAGGTGAAATAAAGTGCATGGTGGTAAATGGTAATGCTATTAAAAGAGAAACAGCTGTTTTACTTACAATCCAAACCAAACCACTAAAAACCAAAAAACTGTCAGTCGTAGGACTGTACGTCAGAAGTGAAAATTTCTTAGCTTCACAAACATATATGATATACACATCTGTATATATGTGTCTAAGCGTGATGGTCACGGAGTTCAGTGCTCTTTCCCCATCGCAAATATATATATACTTATATATATCTGAGCGTGACGGTGCCCAACGTCCCAAAGAAGTTTTTACTTCAAATAAATTTACGTCACCTGTTTATAATAGCAGCAATAGCCTGCTGTATTTCTAATATATCTCCCCCAAGGAATGTCATAAAGCACGTTCCGGAGTCACCTGCATCCATCGACTTACTGCATGTCTTACCAGGTCGTCACTCCATCTAGTGAGGGGCCGTACCACACTTCACCTACCGGTACGAGGCTGCCACTCGAGAATCTTTGAACACTTCAGTTTATTATCTTTTTATATAATATTTGTTTTTAATTTGTAATCACGTATAATGATTATATAAAAATTTAATATCGTTAACTAATAATATATTGTATTAATTATTTTATAATTTTCAGCTTTCAAATAGTTTTTGCTGTTTAAATAAGGAAAACCTAACGTTTAAAACTGTTCAACTGTACAATTAAACAGGGAAACTATTCATCATACCAACTACTGAGTTTTTTTTATATCTCAAATAACGTCTATACTTAAGTCAAGTAGCATGTCATAAAATATATATATACATGTAGTTTAGTCTATAATGAAATATTTTCTTACTTTTTGACGTGGTTTTTTGTGGTAGAGCAACGTTGCAGGCATGCTAGCTATACATAGCTGCAGCAGGTATATGTCAGCACGACCGCGATAGGACCAGGATTATCACAGAATACCACCGTAAAACAGAAAAATGCATTATTTTTCTGATGTATTGATGATACTTTAATTCTTAATCGAGAATAGATGTGGATGTAAATGGGTTATAGCATCCGCTTACCATCAGGCGGACTGTGTGCTCGTTTGTCTCCCGGATTGCATTAAAAAAAGTTTGGTCCCTAAAAAATCATGATTCAACATCAATCATTCGTCTGTCTAATCTTCCGATGTGTAACTATTTCACCGATCAGCGACAGGGAAATGCGTTAATATTACAAGATATCTTGTATAAGAATGTATGCAAAAAGGTCTCTTTTTTTTTCTCGTAAAGAGCTAAAGAGGCGTTCCAATTTAGTCCTTTGAGTTAACAGCGCATCTGACTTTGATTCTTAATCGAGGATAGATTTTGAAGTGGCAAAGCATTCACTTACCATAAGGAGAAATGTGTGCTCCTTTGTCCCAGTTATTCTATAAAAAAGATCTTGGCATAATTTGCAGATAAAAAGAATAAAGATATGAAAAGAGAAGAAATAATTTTTGAAACTAATTTCACATCTTCGCAACACCATTTTTATTAAATTTAAGATACAGAAGTAACATAGAAACAAATATCTTAACAGTGGGTACCTATAGTGTATATCTCCAATTGTTTCAATTTGCTATTGCTAGTTCGTTCGTATATAAAGCCGAGAAAACTGATTCTTTATTCGGATGGAAGGTTCATTACTTCATGCCTAATATTATTTTTAAAACTTCACCTCTTTTCCAAATCAAATAGTAATTTATACTTAAATAGTGTAATTTAATCGTAAAAGTGATCAAGTGCATGGATTATTCCGACACCGAGGCTCCCGCATTTTAATATATCAGCACGTCAGAAGTGGAAACTTCCTAGCTTCACAAACTTGTAAACATTATTCTCGGAAAGCTGCGTCGAAGATTACTAAGCCAAAATTTGAGAGACTCATACAGTACACAGTACAGTACAGTAGGCTTTTATGGACTGATGAACGAGAAGAATAAAGTATATAAAGAATAATTATTAAAATTATTCCAATATATATTAATTTTTGTTTAGACAAGGGTAAGGTTAAACAACGAACTCACAGGTTGTTACGAAATATTTTATACGTGCTAGAGCCATGCTGCAGCTATATTAGTAGTATAGAGACCACACTCTCACAGAATACCAGCGTAAAATAGCAGATTAACACTGCTGTATTGTGTCGTATGGTAAGTGTAGAGAACCGGAGACCCTTTTTACTGGAAAAGAGGCATTCCATCTTAATCCTCACGGGTGACAACGCATCTGCATTTTGATTCTTTATTGAGAATAGATGTAGATGTCTATGGGTCACAGCAACTACTTACCGTCAGGTGGACTGTGTGATCGTTTATCACCTTATCCTATAAAAAATAATATTTTTAGGAATTATGCTTTATTAGAAATTATTTTTATTATTGATATAGTAAAAAAAGTTCATTTATTGCTTTATTTTACACGAAATAACAATGAATTTTATCTATATAATACAAACAAATTTATAAATATATATCAATTTTATAAAATTTAATCAATTGGATTTTCAATATTACTTTCATCAATTTTATGTATTTGAATGTAAAGTCACGCGACTTAAGTGCTTTTTCCCCGTCAAGAAAGTGCCCAACGTACCTGAAGAAGTTTTCACTTCAAAAATACTTTAACATAGTCCATACAAAGATAGTAACAAAAATATTAATTTTTAGTACTATGTTTATATAATTATTGTTCTCATGTAAGTGACGATTGTTTTATTGAGAAATAAAGATCTTTAAACCGAAAATACAAACCAACGTTGACATTACGCACTAAGTAGGTATATACGAAATAGTAACAAAGGCAGTACTCTATATTTTATAAATTTTATAAACCTACATTGATATATTACGCACTAAGTAGGTGTATTATACGAAAAAGAAACAAAGGCAGTACTCTATATTTTATAAATTTTATAAACCTACGTTGATACATTACGCACTAAGTCGGTATATACGAAAAAGTAACAAAGGCAGTAGTGTATATTTTATAAATTTTATAAGCCTACGTTGACATATTACGCACTAAGTAGGTATATACGAAACAGTAACAAAGGCAGTACTCTATATTTTATAAATTTTATAAACCTACGTTGATACATTACGCACTAAGTCGGTATATACGAAAAAGTAACAAAGGCAGTAGTGTATATTTTATAAATTTTATAAGCCTACGTTGATATATTACGCACTAAGTAGGTATATACGAAACAGTAACAAAGGCAGTACTCTATATTTTATAAATTTTATAAACCTACGTTGATATATTACGCACTAAGTAGGTATATACGAAATAGTAACAAAGGCAGTACTCTATATTTTATAAATTTTAAAAACTTACGTTGATATATTACGCACTAAGTAGGTATATACGAAACAGTAACAAAGGCAGTACTCTATATTTTATAAATTTTATAAACCTACGTTGATATATTACGCACTAAGTAGGTATATACGAAATAGTAACAAAGGCAGTACTCTATATTTTATAAATTTTATAAACCTACGTTGATATATTACGCACTAAGTAGGTATATACGAAACAGTAACATAGGCAGTACTCTATATTTTATAAATTTTAAAAACTTACGTTGATATATTACGCACTAAGTAGGTATATACGAAACAGTAACAAAGGCAGTACTCTATATTTTATAAATTTTATAAACCTACGTTGATATATTACGCACTAAGTAGGTATATACGAAATAGTAACAAAGGCAGTACTCTATATTTTATAAATTTTATAAACCTACGTTGATATATTACGCACTAAGTAGGTATATACGAAATAGTAACAAAGGCAGTACTCTATATTTTATAAATTTTATAAACCTACGTTGATATATTACGCACTAAGTAGGTCTATACGAAACAGTAACAAAGGCAGTACTCTATATTTTATAAATTTTATAAACCTACGTTGATATATTACGCACTAAGTAGGTATATACGAAATAGTAACAAAGGCAGTACTCTATATTTTATAAATTTTATAAACCTACGTTGATATATTACGCACTAAGTAGGTATATACGAAACAGTAACAAAGGCAGTACTCTATGTTTTATAAATTTTATAAACCTACGTTGATATATTACGCACTAAGTAGGTATATACGAAATAGTAACAAAGGCAGTACTCTATATTTTATAAATTTTAAAAACTTACGTTGATATATTACGCACTAAGTAGGTATATACGAAATAGTAACAAAGGCAGTACTCTATATTTTATAAATTTTATAAACCAAAGTTGATACATTACGCACTAAGTCGGTATATACGAAAAAGTAACAAAGGCAGTAGTGTATATTTTATAAATTTTATAAGCCTACGTTGATATATTACGCACTAAGTAGGTATATACGAAATAGTAACAAAGGCAGTACTCTATATTTTATAAATTTTAAAAACTTACGTTGATATATTACGCACTAAGTAGGTATATACGAAATAGTAACAAAGGCAGTACTCTATATTTTATAAATTTTATAAACCTACGTTGATACATTACGCACTAAGTAGGTATATACGAAATAGTAACAAAGGCAGTACTCTATATTTTATAAATTTTAAAAACTTACGTTGATATATTACGCACTAAGTAGGTATATACGAAATAGTAACAAAGGCAGTACTCTATATTTTATAAATTTTATAAACCTACGTTGATACATTACGCACTAAGTCGGTATATACGAAAAAGTAACAAAGGCAGTAGTGTATATTTTATAAATTTTATAAGCCTACGTTGATATATTACGCACTAAGTAGGTATATACGAAATAGTAACAAAGGCAGTACTCTATATTTTATAAATTTTATAAACCTACGTTGATACATTACGCACTAAGTCGGTATATACGAAAAAGTAACAAAGGCAGTAGTGTATATTTTATAAATTTTATAAGCCTACGTTGATATATTACGCACTAAGTAGGTATATACGAAATAGTAACAAAGGCAGTACTCTATATTTTATAAATTTTAAAAACTTACGTTGATATATTACGCACTAAGTAGGTATATACGAAACAGT